CCGGGCCGGGGCCGCAGCCGGGCCCCCAACCCCGCGGGCCCGCCAGACTCACCGGTGTAGTGCACCACGCAGGTCTGGCCACGCTTCGGGAAGGTGCGCCCTGTGGAGACAGACAGACGGCACGGTGAGCAAAGGCGCGCGGCGGCGAGGCCCCGGGCCGCGGGCGCCCTACTCACCGTCTCCTGGGGAGATGGTCTCCACCTGCACTCCCATGGCGGCGGCGGACGCTGGGCGGGCGGCGAGACGGACGGCGTGGACTGAGCAGACCTGGCAGCGGTTCCGGGGCTCGGCTTCGTTCCTCCGCGCGTCTCCTGCGCAAGCGCGCGCCCCCGCACGCCCCGCCCTGCGTGCGCGTCCCCCAGGCGGGGCGCGTACCGGAAGTGCGAGCCGGAGCTCAGAGGGACAGGAAGTTGGGAAGTTCCGAGGGCTCCGGATGCAGCTGTGTGGGAGGCGGCGTCTCGCTGGCGTCTCACTTGCTTTCTCTTAGCCTCCAGCCTGGTTCCATCTCCCTTCTCAAGTTTCCGCATCCTAGAGATGGGAGAATGATAAGGGGCCAATAGTTACTGACTGGGTGACTCGGAGGTGGTTCACAATAACGAGCGTTACCCTGCCTAAATGGCAGTGCCCATGTGGTACTAGGTTAGCGTTCAGTACATGGCTCGATACAGGCTCATTTATAATGTGTTTTTGTTTTTGGTGCTCGAGATAGAACCGGCTCCACCCTGACGTCCTCAGCCTCCAAGGAGGTTTTTGTTGATTTCCTCAGTTCTGACACTTCCATTTTGTTCTTTGTAGGTTGTGTTTGCTTAAACTTTCTTTTTATTTGTTCCTAGATGATTTGTCCTTACTTTTCTTTATAGCTAAAAGACTAAGATGTGTTTTTATTTTTGTTTCTGTGGTACTGGGGATCAAACTCAGGACCTTGTGCATACAAGGGAAGCACTCTACCATTGGGGCACCTCCCCAGTGCTTGTCCTTATTTTTTGAAACATTTTTAATAGCTACTTCAAGGACTTCGTCAAGTAATTCCAACAACTGTATCATTTCAGCATTGACATCTGATTTTTTTTTTTACATGTGAGCTGAGATTTTCGTATTTCTTCATATGTCAATTAATTCATTTGGATTATGTCCACGTTATTTTGAATATCACGCAATAATAGAATTTTTAAAAATCCTGTGAAGTTGGTATTTTTGTGTTAACAGGCAATTGACCAGATTAGACTGAGACTAATCTTTTAGTTCTAGGGTTTTGTAAGTGCAGACCATCATTGCTGTGGGTGCCACTGTCACCTAGACTTCTTGGGGGGATGAGTACAAGTGCATGGAAGAATCTATTTTAAAGCGTAATAGATTTCACTCACTTGGGCACCAAGAGAAGTTTTCCTGCTCCTTACCTTGTAGCAGCAGTAGAAAGCATCTGCTGTAACATTGTCCTGGTGTGTACTTCCAGGATTGAAGCTGAATTGAATCCAAGCTGGGAAATTGTGGTGAGAAAGAATTGATAAACTCCCTACTGGCTTGGTGGTATGTCAAATTCTAGTTTTATTTTTTAAATCTGTCTGCTACTATTTATTTTTCAGAGTTCTTTAAGAGCTACGCATAAATTTTGTTCAGGCTTTAAAGCTACATTTGTTGGGAAAAAGGGGGTGCAGTGTATTTTTCTGTTTCAGCTAGCTAGACACTGTCCCCTTTGATTTTTAAAGATCTTTCTCCAGAGACACAGAGGGAGAATGCTAAGGCAAGTGTAACATGTTAACATTGGTGAATCTAATGAAGGTTATAATGGGAAGACTCCATACAATTTTTTTTTTAAAGGAAGGAAATTTTAGCCTATGTTACAGCATGGCTGAGCCTTAAGGGCATTATTCTAAATGATGGTCACAAAAAGACAAATACGGCATGATTCTACTTATGTGAGGTACTTAGGGTAGTCAGAATTATAGAATGGTTGCCAAAAGTTGGAGAGGAGGAGGAATGGGGAGTTATTTTTTAATGGCTAAAGACTCAGTTTTGTGGGCCGAGGATATAGCTCAGTGGTACAGCACCTGCCTAGCAAGCACAAAGTCCTGAATTTAAGTCCTGTAAAAAAAAAAAAAGAAAAGAAAAGGTCAGTTTTGCAGGATAAAAACAGTTTTGGAGATAGATGGTGGTGATGGTTGCACAACAAGATAAGTCAAAGGCACACTCAAATGGTTAAAACAGTAAATTTTATGTTATGCATATTTCACCACAATAAAAAAAAAAGGGATTCAGATACAAAAGCTCCAATATAAGAAAATAAGGTATCACTTTCTACCCCAGCAGAAATTATGTTCCCATGATCTCTATGGAGATGTCCTGTTGACCTACCTAAACTCTTCACTGCAAGATTTGGGCAGAGGACCTGAGGGAAAGCTAATAATATAGTATAGAGACCCATAAGCAGCTGGAGAACTGGTCATCTGTAGTCTCTTAGCCCAATCCTGAGTCTAAATTCAAATCTGGGGCTTTTTTCCCTTGTGGTAACTGAATCCACCTCTTCTTGTTGCCAGGGAGCACTAACATGGTGTTCTCAACTTGGCATATACAATAAGGCAGCTGTATTTCTAAGCTAAGAGATAAAACTTATAGTCATGGGGAAGCAGATAGTATTTGAGTTCCACATCCAAAAAAGAATTGTGGAAAGTCCCAAGCCTCTTCCATCTCCTTGACTCCTGTCTTAGTTACTTTTCTCTCACTGTGGAGCCAAAATACCCAAAACCCAAAGTTAAAGAGAGAAAGGTTTATTAGCTTACAGTTTGTAGAGATTTCAGTCCATAATTGTCTGGCTGTAATGCAAGGTGGTACGCTAGACAAGCATCATAGGAGAAACAGTTTAAGGTAGGCAGAAGGTAGCAAAGCAAGCATGGGGGCAAGACAGGCCTCTTTCTGTCTCTTATATACAGGCTGCTGGGATCAGGGTTGGTGCCAAGCCAATCAGTGGGCTGATTTAGTAATCACCCATCCTTAATCCTAGCACCCTTAATCCATGCATGGTGAATCAATCACATACCTAGATTAAACCAATTGTGAAAAAGCCCCATCTATGACTGCACAAGGCTTTGGGGAGACATCTAGACACAGGCTGTAACAACTCCCATAGCCCTCTTCCTTTTAAGCCTGGAGAAAACATTGTGGATTTTTCAGAGTATCAGTACGTAAGGACCAACAGTATCTTTGCTGTACATTTTAAAGGTTTATGTGTAAAGGTTTGAGTCTCCTGATAAAGCATTCTCTGGTGGTGCAATTTCAAACATTCACCAGTGGATGGAATCTATACATCTGAGCCTTCCTGAAGTCTTAGGAAACTCAATCTAAGAGACATTCTGTACCTCACCTTTTCAAATGCTGGAATCGCCTCCTCAGACAAGCTTCTAAAGAGTTGCCCATGTTTTCCGTTAATGCCTCCATGGACAAGGAGCCCCTTATCGTCAGGCGTAGAAGTGTTCATCTTTTGAAAGCTGTATGTGTTGAAAAAGCCCCTAGGGATGGCCCATCTGTTTGTGGGTAGAGGTGAGTGTAGAAGGCCAACTGTGAAGGCCCTAAACTTGATAAAAAGCAGAACAGGAAGGTGAGATACAGTGCTGTGTCAGGGCATGACTGAAACTGTATTTAGTATTTCACAAGGTAGAAGGCTTCGGGGAAAGAAACTAGGTAGAACAGAAATGTTGCCTTAAAAATATTATCCATTTCTTTGGTGGACTAGTGTATGTTTGCCTTTTTAAAAAAACAGTGCTTTGGTTTTCATTTGTGGAAGCACTTCTCTTCCACTCCTCAGATGTAATATACAAGAGGAACTAATACCCTTCTCAGCTCCAGCATGTGACTGAACCCTGATCAGCTGGAGCTATGTATCTCCTTAGATACAGTGGTTAATTTAGGGATGGGTATATGCCTTAGTGTTTTCAGGCGATGTAAACAAAATACCATGAGCAAGTAGATTATAAACAACAGATTATAAACATAAGCCATATATAAATCCATGTCCAAGATCAAGGAGGATTCCATGTCTGAGGAGGACTGATGTTTTGGTTCACAATCAGTACCTTTTTACTATGCACCCACCTGGTAGAAGTAGTGAGTGGTTTCTCTGGCTTATTTGATAAGGATACTAATACTATTCATGAAGGCTCTACTTATGTCCTTATTACTTCCTACAGGATCCCACCCCTATTATTATCAACCTGGAGGTTATTATGATTTAGATCTAAGATATTCCCCCAAAGTCTTATCTATTAAATCTATTAAGAGGTGGGGCCTTTGGAAGGTCATTGGGTTCTGGGGGTGCTATATTCATCAGTAGATTAATCTACTGGTAAGTTCATAGCTAATGTGCAATGGGGCCTGTTTGGACAAGGTGTATCATTGAGATTATCCCTTTGGAAGGTATGTTTCTGTCCCTGGCCTGGCTTCTCTTTTCTCTGTTTCCTGGCTGCTGTGAAGTAAGCAGCCTTCTTCTTCCATGCCCTTGCACCATGATGTTTCTGCTTTGGAGTGAGCAGAAGATGGACTTAATTCCCTGAAAACATAAGCCAAATTAAACCTCTCATCCTTTAAATTGAATATGTCAGATATTTTGTCTCAGCAACAGGAAAGCTGACCAATACAGAGGTTAGGGTTTCAACATTTCAATTTGGGGAAGAGGGAACATAGATATTCAGCCCATAACAGTGTACACAGAATATTTTAGTCAGTTTAGGCTGCCGTAACAAAGTCCCATAATCTGAGTCCTCCACAATGCTAGTGATCAAACCCCTGGCCTTTGCATACAAGACAAATATTCTACACTGAGCTGCACCTCCAGCCCCATGCTGGATGGCTTAAACAACAGAAGTTTATTTTCTCACAGTTCTGGAGTTAAGAAGTCTGAGATCAGAGTGCCAACATAATTTGGTCCTAGTAAGGACTCTTTTCGTGGTTTACAGGTGGCCTATTTTTTTTTGCTGTTTCCTCATATGAAAGGGAGGAAGACTTTGGCATCTCTTTTCATACGGGTACTAATCCCATTATGAAAATCTATCTTACCTTCATGACCTCATTCAACCTAGATTACCTCCCAAAAGTCCTGTCCTAGTTACTTTTGTTGTTGCTGAGACAAAATACCTGACACCAAAGTTAAAGAAAGAAAGATTTATTGTAGCTCACAGTTTGTAGAGGTTTGAATTCATAGTTGGATGACTCCAAAGCAGGGTGGTATGAGAGAGGGCCATCACAGAAGAGAAACAGTTCATGGTAGGCAGAGGGCAGCAAGCAGTGAAGTATCAAAACAGCAATCCATGACAGCAGCCCTCTTGCTGTTCCTTATATTCTATCCAGGATAAATCCCTT